GACTTTTCGGGAGATATTAAGCATGTGCTTTGCTTCAATTTTTATGTCTTAGTGCTGTCTCCGAAACAAAATTGATCATTTAAGGATTTGGCATGTTTATGCCACCTCAGTCTCAAAAATTGAAAGATCATGCCAACTCTTGTTTGATAGTGAGGAGGTGAGCTAGACCTGAACCTGTTCCTGAGTAACCATGCCAAGAAAATTAAAAAGACAGTATGAGCTGAATACAACCTGTGAAATTTTACTTTAAGAGGGCAGATGAGAGATGTGGTTCTGCATAGAACACTGTTGAAATTACAAGATAGAGGTAAAAATCAAAATATTAACAGCAGATAAGTGTTGGCAAACAGGTGCTGGTAATAACATCGCTGCTGCTGCCCAGCTTGTGGTGGCTCAGTTACTTGGAACGCGTTCATGGTTGGCACAGAAGTACCTCACTGGACTGGGAGCAGTGTTACAGCAGGTTCTCCATGCTATTGCCTTGTCTCCCTTGTAAAAGGATGAACTGTCGTGGTGCGTTTCAGCATAACTTGGAATTCTGTCAAGGTGGTTTTGGCCAGTAAGGTTCTCACACACATTTTCCCCTTTCACGTGCACGCATGAGTCACTCAGTTCTCTGGCCTTCCATCACAAGGCTAATCGTGGTTTTCAGTCTGAAATTCCTAAGTAGTATTGTGTGGTGTTCTTTCACTCAGGTCTGTTAAAAGGGTATAAACCACTGTTACTGATATTAAAAAAAACAAACCCCAAACCAAAACTTGAAGAACAGGATGTGTTTAGTAACTTCTCTTGTCCTGCAAGTTTTCCTGTTCATAACCCTTTAAGAATTAAAAGTCTAATGGATAGCAGTAAAATTTTTTTATGTGGTGTTTCCACGTAAAATTCATACAACCCCTCAGCTTGTGAAAGGAGCCAGGGTTGTGTGCTTTGGATGCTTCGTGGTATGGAGGTGGGTGGCTCCACACCTTCACCGGGCTTTGGGGGCCATCCCTGCCTGAAAATTGCAAACCTCTGGAGCGCGGGGTCCGTCCCGCCTGCCCGCTCCACTCCTTGTGACACGTCGGTGCTGTGCCAGGCAGTCCCGACAGGGGGGCGCTGCTAGCCTACATGGATGTCTCCACTCTGGCCAGAAATGCTTCAGACGTGAGTAATTCGCAGCTGCTTTCCCAAGGTTCCCTACCTATAAACTGACTCTGTAAAAGCCCTTGACGCTCTCTGTCACACAGCCTCTGCTGGCAGCCCCTTAGTTTAGCTGGGGAACAACCCCATAGCTGGGATTAATTTGGCAAAAAGTAACAGTGCTCTCACCTGCTGTTTCACCTCTAAACTTAGAAAAAATATGTGATTTCCTCAATACATTATTGATTTTTTTTCCCCTGCAGTATCTGGAACAACAATCTGAGATTATTTGGAGAACAAGGCACAGAATAAGACTATCACCCTGTGCTTTCCCTAGTACCCTAATTGTCCTCGTGCTGAAACACAGGAGGAGAAGTTGCCTTCCCCTTGCTTTTGCAGAAATGTAGGAAAAGACAAACTCACAGGTTAGCGTGGCACGGAGCAGTCTGAGAAGTGTTTCATATACACTTCATGTGAGGTGCAGCACAGGGAACAGGGAGAGCCCTTCCAAAGGGAAAGCTGCGGCACGTTGAGGGGAAAGGCTCAGGTCTTCAAGTGGTCAGCATACGTTCCTATTCCACGTGCTTCCCTCTGAGTGGACAACAGAGGTAAGTCAGCACTAAAACCCTGAAAGTCGCTGGCTTTTACAGCTGAGGACTGGGCTATTGCACTGTCTGTTTAGTAGGTAACCTTGGTAAAAAGTAAATCAGTAGGACTATTCAGATTTTGTAGGGAATGAATGTTTTGTGTCAAGCTGGGCTATGCAGGTCATGCTCTCCCCCAGCTATCAGAAAGAGAAGGGTTCAGAATGGAAGCTATGTTCGAAATGGAAGATGACTAGTAGAGGGATAATATTCTATAATCTTTTGTGTTAGCAGATTGCTGGTCTGCCTCATCCTTTTAACAGAGGCAGAGGCTGGATAGTAGAACAGCTTGTCTCACCTTGTGGCTTTCATGCATGGTGAAATGGCTGGCTGCTTTTTCATAAAAATGCTTGCTGGGAGATCTGGACAACGTGGAGGCCAACCTAGCATTGTGTTGTGATCATTTGAGTCTGTTTCTGAAGATTAACTTTCCAAGATTTTCCTTGCAGGATCCCTGTAGTCCCTGAGCAGGGATGGCTTGGATGCAGTCCAGCCTTGCTTCCCACAGCCCATGATCAGGTTTTTCATCATTCGTAGGATCATAGAATTGTTTCATCTGGAAAAGACCGTTAAGATCATGAAGTCCATCCATTAACCTAACACTGCCAGCTCAACAATAAACTATGTCCCTAAACTCCTCATCTACCTGTCTTTTAAATACCTCTGGGGATGGTGACTCCATCACCTCCCTGGGTAACCTGTTCAATGCTTAACAACCCTCTCAGTGAAAACGTTTTTCCTAATATCCACCCTAAACCTCCCTTGGTGTAACTTGAGGCCGTTTCCTTTTGTCCTGTCACTTGTTACCTGGGAGAAGAGACCAACCCCCAGGTAGCTGTAGAGAGTGGTAAGGTCTCCTTTGAGTCTCCTTTTCTCCAGGCTCAACAACCCCAGTTCCCTCAGTCTGTGTTGTACATTGTCAAATAGGATATCTTCATCTCCCAGCAAGGCACAGCTAGTCCAGCCTAGCATGGATATCACAACAGTAAATTTCAGTCTAGCTCCTATTGCTATCAAAAAGGCTGATGCAAGGTTCAGTACTTTCCAGGCCTGTACAGGGCTGCCTGTGTGCCTCTAGCTGTGCTCAGCATACCTCACACCTTCCTATTCCTTTCCTCCACACTGGCTGAATAAAGAAGGCTCGTTCAGCTCTAGTGGTGTGACTGGAGTGGTTCCTGAAAGCCTAATCCAAGGCAGAGTTTAAGCCTGTAGGCCTGAAAACTGCAATCTAGCACGTGAGTTAGGTGCTGAAGGTCCATCTGGAACACCTGAGAGGAGGGAGAAATCCCAGGAGAAGTGAGGTGCAGAGCAGTACACCATGCAGGAGCACAGCTGGGTCGCAGCTCGCAGAAGATGCTCTCAGAGCTAAGTGGTGCGTGCCTGGCCCTAACACACTTGTGTGGGTCAGTGCAGAGACCATCGTCTGCTGTGAACAGCAGGGGTGTGGAACTCCTCTGGCTTGTCTCTGAGCGTGTAGGAACTCGAGATGGGAATGCCTTCTCCCTTTCCCTCCCAAGGTATCCAGAAAAGAGGGGTGTCCCCATTGTATTCCATACCATGGATGGGTATGGAATGCTGCTGGACCCCTTCCTGCCCTTCCAGGGCAAAAGGGAGAGGTCTGGGATACCCCACTTGCTGCAGACACGTTTACCTGAACCGACTGCAAGCCTGCAGAGCCAGTGAACCTCAGTGATGCACTAGACCTGATGCTCAGCTGTGTGGAGCTAGACAGTGTCCCATGAATACAGAAGAGAACTAGCATTTAGTCATCGTTATTTAACCTCCATCCCAGCTCACAAATTTCAAAAGGAGTGCGTTTTAGGTGAACAGGAAGACAACCTGCACCGATGGGTTAGTTCCTGTTACCAATACAAGCGTGAGAAGCAGTCTGTGGGAAGGCAGGCAGGAGCGGTGTGTGCTCGGCCCTGCAGCGCTGGCTCCGGACAGCAGAGAGCACTGCTCGTACAGCAGAGAGAGGAGCATCTCCCAGGCTGCTGCTGCGGGGCCTGGGCTGCTTCCGTTTCACGAAACTTAGCCCTGCAGCAGAAGCTTGGAGACCACATTTATTCAGCAGTCATCGCAGGCATGACTGCAGCTTTTGGGAATCGTGAGGAATGAGAGGAAAGTGAGGAACTAGCAAGCTTCTGAAATTCTCAGGTCAACGCAATGTTAGAGACAAAAATCTGCATTTATGGAGGAAAAAAAAGTGCACCTTTGTGTTGCATGTGGAAGAGGCCCTTAAGTGGCAGATGGCTTGTCTCTGAAGCCAGGGTTGGTACACCAGATGGTTGTTGTTGCACTTAGCAAGATGTTCTGCACTTACATTATTTTGTATGGATTTTTATTTGACTTTTCAGATTTGCACATTACGTGCACAAGGGAGGGTTGGCAGTCACTTTATGATATATTATAAGCAGCCATAATCAGGGCTGGAATAATTTTAGTGGTCTGAACATCTATATTTCAACAGCTGGAAGAAACAAGAAGTGTTATGTTGCAGCCGTGGGTTATTTTCTGGTCTTTTATTTTGTAGCCACTTCAGAGAGGGAACAGGTTACAACATTCACTAGTCCCGTTAGCACACCCTAGTGTTTTCCAGGCTTGTGGTGCTGTCCTGAGTCCCACCCTCTGGTCTTTTCACTTGGAGCAAGATAGTTCTGGTGAAAGAGGTAACTCCTGTGTCTAGTTGCACCATTCAGAAAGCAGCCAGCACAGCAGAGCCTGCAGGTGCTGTTGGAGACACACAGTGAAGTGAGGAGTGAGGCCTGAGCACATAGGTGAATAGCAGGGGTTCTCCAGGGGCAGGTGAAGAAGCTATAGGGTAAACCTTACTAGTCTGGTGGACTGGGACCCTTCAGAAGTATCTGGAATGTGGCAGTGATCTGTGCCTTAATGCTTGTTTCTAAAAATTCAGATCCACTCTCAGACTGTGGGCAGTCCAGCTGAAAACTTACTGAAGTAGTATTTGGTTCCAAAGCTGCCTGCTACAACCCAACTCCAACATGCCCTACCCCATTGTTGGCATCTTCTCCACCTGTGTTTGGCTTTGCAGGTAGCTCTCCTTCTTCCCTTTCTTACAGGCTTAAGCTTAGACCAGGAGACTGCAGACTCTGCCTGTTCCCTGGTTCTTGTCCCAGAACTTGTAGTTCTAAGGTCTTGAAGGAGAGGCTGTGCATCACTTGTGCCACAAAGCATGGTGACCTCTCTAGGTAAGTGTGCAGGGCCCAGTGTTCTTACCAAATTCAGTTTACATGCATCAACTGAGATTTGGATCAACAATCCAGACTGGTCCAGCAAGTACATAGCCCTGGAGATTGGCTGAACGGTGACCTGGAAGGGCTGAGAATGACAAACAAATAGTTGTGTAGTTTTTAAAGAATAGATACATGCTGCACCTTAACTGCTAATGTCTTAAAGTATGAACTCAAGGTGGTGTTACATAGTCCATGTCTGAGGCATGCCAAAACCAGAGGTGCTCAATCCCTTAAAAACACAGGGTCAGGAGTGCTTTGCAATGGCTCTTTCTCTCCTGGACACCTACCGCTCCTCTCCCTGCTTGAGCTGCACTGTCCTCTGCAGGGGCTGCCGCGTGGGACGTTGGTAGGAGAGCACCCTGCCACCAAACAGTGCACATACACCTGAGAAGAAGAAAAACAACCACTTGGTCTGTATAAAGTCCTGCTTTGCAGAGCATCACTTTGTCTTTTGTCTGCCTCTTGCAGAAGTTACAGCCGATTAGACTCAGGCTTGTCTGAACACTCGCATGTGACACCTTCTAGCTGAACTTGCCTTGAATTTCAAATCTGGTGTCAAAGAAGCCCTCAGGCAGTTTGGTAACTGAGAGGCTGAGGCAGGAGAAGTTAAAACCTCATGAGCTGCAGTGAGGCTATGTATCAAAGCTAGACAGAAACTCAATCTAGTGCTAGATGCAGCTGTGCACTTAGGAAGCAGCACAAGCCAGAATTGCATCATGTTCATTTCTAGCAAGTTCACGAGTTGAACTGCTTATGAAAGACCAAGTGAAAAAATTAAGTGGTTACTTGGGCTGCCCAGGCAGGGGTACTGCCATGGCGTGTGCCAGTACATGTGCTAGAGTCTGCTCAGCTGCTGCACTGGGAGGAAAGAACCCTCAGGTGACTGCCTGGGGGGTTTCTTTGCTCTTCTTGGACCTGTCAGAGGAGGACAGAACCTCTAAGGTGTAAGAGCAAACCTATGTGGCTGTTTCCCTGCCCATTGGGCTGCCATCTGAGAAGAGGGTTGACTGGCTGGGACAGATGGGAGACAACAGAGCTGAACTTCATGTTCATAGGAATATATGTCATGATATTATGACATATCAATTGAGTTTTCTGTTCTAGACATTTTGAGTTGAAATGCTATGAATCTGATCCTATAAACAGTCAGAAACACAGTATAAAAATCATATTTACATACCAAACTCTTCTGTTTACTCCAGCCAGTCCAGCCTCAAGTCACTGAAACTGTGTTGCAGAGCAGATTTGAGAAGAGAACTATAATTAAAACTGTGCACCCGTCAGGCTACTTGGGTTGAAAGCTGGCTAGGTCTTAAGTCTGCAAGGTGTTTAAATCGGCTGTTTTTACATGGTCTTAAGAAGTTCAGAGGCTGGGATCTGTGAGCAGGAGGTCAGCCTTTCACGTAGTCTTACCTGCTCCAGTCGACGTGCCAGGGTCCTTACTGCTAGCCTTTTAAAATGAGAAGGGTCTTTCACCCTGGGGCCAACAGCTACTGGACAGAACTCTGCAACATACTCACTGCCATTAATCTCACACCTATTTGAGAGAACAGATCAACAGATCTAGAAGAAATGAGGGCTTTGCTGATGAGTGCATGGGTCATTCAATAACTACTTGCCCATCCACAGTGATGTTCCATCTTGGGGTGCTGTTGAAGTCTAGAGACCCGGTTACCCAGCAGTTTTCCAGGTATAGCTCAGTGTTGGGGCTCTCGTCTCTCAGCTCCACCTCAAGAAACACAGGCTCCACAGGTCGCTTGAGTATAGGCACATGGGGCTCGTAGAATTCCACAAAAGATCCATCTCAAGATGAATGGGGATTTTGTCATCGTTTAATCTTATTTAAAGCATGTTTGGAATTTTTCTGATTTTCTTAGGAGGAGACTTACCTTTGGACACTCTTGAAACTACATTCAGGGCTTCTCTTATCCTTCTGTTTACTGCAGGAAAGGAAATATTATTGAGGTTCTTTAGTCGAAAGCAGGTCATGTCTTAACAAGGGAGCTTCCAAGTGAAAGTCCCAGAAGTTTAGAAATGGAGGAAGAGGATTGCTCACCTGCAATATTTGATCCTGGTACCATCGTCCCGGAGCCAAAGGGAGGTGATGTGGATGGATCACTAGCGAGAGCACCTAGCACTAGAGTCTCTTTTGCTCGATAATAGCAGGAGACTGTTAACCTGTGGTAGGAGAGCAGGTCACTTCTGTGTTCTGCTTTCACTTCTCACAGCTGTACTGGAGCGAGCAGCCTCAGAGGGCAGGAGCTCCTACCTGTACTCTGGGTCTCTTGTGATTCTCGGCGTGCTCTGTTCCGGAAGAGTCTCTTTCTCATAAAAGATTTCATTTTCATAAATAATGTGATCACCTTCAAACTGTGCATATGGGAAGCTCATTAAAATTGAGTCTTCTCAGGTGCTGGGGCAGGGGAACAAAAGAGAAAATGCAGGAGAGACAGAGACATCCAGCAGACGTGTCTGCTCTGGCCATAGCTTACCCTTACTGAAGTGCCACAGGTAGTGACATGGAACGTGAAGAAGGCATGTCCTTCATTATACTCCTTAGGCTTGCAGGAGCTATCCCTTAGTTTTGTTTTACTCATATCAATGGCAGGAACTGTCTTCATTTGGGCTGATATCATTATGGTACCATCTGGGTGGCATACTGAGAAAATCAGAGAGTTGCTTGTAAAATCAAGGAAAGAATCACAGATCTTTTTATTGATCGCTTGCATAACTTACTTATAAATGCTGAGGAATTAAAAGTGCAGCTGACGGAGAACATCTGTAGGGTCTCCATAGTTCTCACTTTCCTTAGGGCAACAGCAAACCTTGCTTTAATTTTCTGAAAGGACACTTCCTGTGAAGGAGGTGATGGAAGAGGTCTCCTATTAATGCACATGATCCATATGTACAAAGCTCTGCTATTTAGCTTGTGCCACTTGAATACTAACAAGTCACAAGACTTAAACCAGTGTGAAAACTCAAGCCTGGTGCAACAGGGGGCAGAATTTTTCTTATATGAATTGGTCACTTTCTCAGAGATAAATTTTGGCTGATAATTGTATGGTAGTTCAGATGTTTGTTACAGCATCAGTTTTCCCCTGCCATGTCTTTTTATACAAAATATTCCTTTAAAAGAGCATCTTTCATAAAAGCTATGAATTATTATTTCTGTCTCAGTGCAGATGGGACACTTTGCCTCATCTCACTAAAAATATCAAGGAGTTTGTTTTTGAAGACTTGGTACGTATCTTTTAGAAACAACTCAGTGCTGCAGATCACATAACACATGGCATTACCAGAAAGGTCCATGTCTGACACCTCTTGTTCTACTTGCACTGGCTTAGAGTCCTTCCCTCAGGAGGTTTTCCAGTAAGTGTAAAAGTACAGCACTGCAAACTGTGGCTGTAGGACTGTGGCTGTGTGAGCAAACTGTCCTACGTGCTTTAAAGAAGGCATTGCTGTACAGTCCATGTACCTCATAGACAACTCCCACAGCAAACAGAGGGACTTGCAAGATCAGGTGGGTAGAGTTGGTAGCTGCAAGATACCCATTGGTAAGTGCAATGTGCCGGTTCAGGAGCTTGTTACCAAGATACAGGTTCCAATACTGGTGTAAGCCAAAAGTAGGGATGGATAGATACAGGTTTTCTTCATCACAGTAACCAACTGCTTCTGGTATTTCTGCAGGAAGAAGGTGGGATGAAGAGTTGGCAATGAAGGGATGTCTGAGGGATGATGTTTGGCCCAGACAGGGCTTTCCATCATGGGTGAATTTTGCACTGGCCCTGCAGCAGTGCTGTTACGTGTGTGCTGGCATTTGCTGCAGGGCTCTGGCTGCACTGTGGATGGATCAGCTCACAATCAATGGGACTGGGAATCCTCATGCTTTAGCAGTGGCCTGCCAGCTTCCTTCCAGGACTACTCCCTGTTTCAGTAAGGCAAGCTGAGCTGTGTATGTAAATATATTTTTTTGATCAGCCTTCTTTGAGTTGTACCCAGATCTTTTTCAAAGATAAAATAAGACAGTGAGAAGAATCTGTCACCTTTATGGCATCCAAAATCTAGGATGTTTGAGAAAATACCAGTCAGATCTCCTGACTGACTCAATAATCTGCTAAGTATAGCTTTCAGTGGATGATTGCCTCCTCACAGAAATGTTGTCTTTAGAGTTCAACAGAATTTATTTGAGTCAGTTGAGTTCTGCCCTGGACACAGAGGCAGAATTGCATTTGAGGACAAACTGAAACTTGTAGCAATGTCTGGAAGTTTTGCCAGTAGATGTATATTCAAGTTATGAAGCATCTTGTTCACTGGGTTTGCAAGCCAACTTCTTTTACACACTAGTTTTTATTGCTGTTAGTGTCTCGAGGGCAGACTGTCTTGCCAGTATGCAGAAGAGCCGCCATCAGAAAAGCAGCACGTTGGCTATGTTACCAATAATGAGCTAGTGGAGGGTGGGGTTTTCCCAAAAGCTCTCATCTTCAGCCTAAAGCTGTTCTCACTGAATTCAATGAAAATCTGATCCATGCTGTTGATGCAAACCAGTTAATATCAGGGGAAAGCTTACCAATATCAGCAACCACACACTCCACCTCTGCGGAATGATAATAGAGCGTCGGCTCCAGATCCACGCTCATAGTGTAGTTAACAAGGAGGATGTATTTAGTTTCATTTCTGTTCACATACTGAAAGAGAAGTATAAGGCTGCAGTAGCAATGGCTTCCAGCACAGACAAGAATGTATATCCTGAGCAGCACTAAATAATTATTCCAACACCCTCCTCTCCCTTGCGAATAGCTTAGTCTCCAAAAACATCGCATCAGTTTGCCTAAAACTCTTCAGAAATCTGGACTAGATTCAACAGCTCTTTTGGCCAAACGTATGTATGGAGAATGTGATGCCTGCTCAGAAAATGGAGGCAGAAGAGATCACAGTGGTGTTTCCTCTGTACCCCACTGGTAAAAGAGCTTAAATAAGGAGATTTGGCTCCAAATACTTTTTCTTCTTTACTCAGAGTATGGGCTGAACCCAGGAGAATGAGTAATCGGTAAGACAGAAGGTGTGAGGAGATGCTATGAGAGGTCAATATCCTCATTTACTTTACTGAAAGTGCCTCCAAAGTAAAACCTTCTGTTCAACCTGAAATAAATACTTCTGAAAGTTTTTGGACTGCTTTGATCCTTAATGCAATTTAACTGTGGTTTGACTGCAGCCTGAAAATTCTTTGTGCAAGTCCTGATCCTGTGCACTGACAGCGTTGTTCCTTGCAACAGAAAATAGCATCGCAGCTCTGTGATTAGGTTGAAACAGTTGTAAAGGGCTTGCAGTTATGCATCTGCCCATTAAAGAGGGAGGCTGAATTCCTTCCATGAGTTTATACTTTTTACAAATGTTTAGATTAGAAATGATCTTACGCTTAACAAAATCACATTTAGAATACCCTGCCTGTAGATGCTCGCGTGGTGCACGGCTGGTGCCAGCGGTCAAAAGGCTCTGCATAAGCAGTAGGTTCAGGAATTGCTAGATTTTGGTAACCAGTGTTTGCAGGATTGCAATAATTGATTTATTTTTCCAAGGCACTCCTGTTTCAAGGGACAGTATTCAATAGATTTGAAAAACTTCTTCCTGCTGGGCATGTGCTTGGACATTAGCCATGCTGACAGACTAAAGGAAGGCATATTTCATACCCTCTCATCACACAATGCTGCACATCTCCCAGAGACCTAGGGAGAGCAAGGTGGAGACATAGAAGCCTCTAATCTTAATTCAGATGAGGTCAGATTCAATGACATCTTTATGATTGAGGTACAGTCATTGGTTAATAAAAGCCAGACTGTGTTCTGAAAAGGGACTGCCCTACTTCCTCCACTCAGCTGCTGAAGTGACCTGCTTTATCTTACCTCCTTTAGAACATAGGGATCATCAAAAGAGACTTCCAGAATAAAACCTTTTGTTCTATTAGAAAAGGGAGTTTCGTAAATCCTAAACCCGTGGTGCTGTGCTTCCCTCAGGGTAAATGGCACATTTCCTATTGTGATTGCCACCAGAGAGATGTCGGGAAGAAAGTGTCCAAATGCAACATTAAATAGCCTTTCCTCTGGCAGAGTATCTGTGGGGAGAGAACATCAAATTACTGCTGATGTGGATCAAGTAACGAAGACGGTTGGGGTGGCCTCCCATTCAAGTTCCAGGAAACTTAGCCAACAGCCATCTCTTTAATGGCTTTGATTAATGAGTGTTTGTGTTCTAGTCAGATCTGAAATACTCTTGAGTACATGAGAATTGCTTCAAGCTGCAGGAGATTAACAACAAATACATACAACTTTAGAGAAAGTGGGTTCAGAAACTTTCTAGAGGTGCACTAAGATGAGCAATGACTTTCTCATAAAGAAATCTAGAATCTAGTTCATCCACATAAAATATGGAAAAACTATCATAATGTATGCTAAGAGACTCCTTTTCCTTTCCATATCAGTTACTCAGACAGTTCCAAAGATGTTTACTGTCTTAATGCATTGCAAAACATTAAAAAATATTACTGCACCACTGGATGGCACAATGGTTTCAGTGTGCTCCCAAGATAACAAATGCAGGCAGTCTGGGGAAGAAAATGCCATGAAAGAAGGCTGTCCTCAGACAGTTCTCCCCGCTGTGATAATTTCACAACACAACATCTTTATTGTAGAGTTCCCGTGCTCACTGGAAAAATCTGGTTGTTAGTGAGAAAGAAATGTTCACATTCTTTTCAGAAACTTAAAATTTTAATTTCATCCCATAATGATGGGTGATACATGGTATATCCATTATGGCTAAAGGTGTTTAGTTTAGGTTTTTGTACATGACAGATCAAACGGAGCAATGTATAACATAGCAAAAGCAAGAGATTGGTAGAAGTCAATGAGAGAAATGACTTACTGTTGATAACAGTCGGTATTTGTGGCATGAAAGGTGTGGTGATGGATTTGATAACAATATACTTTGTGGTCTGCCAATCTGCATCTGTCCATGTGTGCTCCAAAAACAAGTCAATACTGTAAATGACTCCATATACACCACCAGATATGGAGCTCTAGGAGGTAAGATTTGTGATTAAGTATTAATATCTAAAAATAGCAGAATTAATACAGTTAGAACTCATACACTAGAAAGAGAAAGTGGTATTCTGGTACAGTCTGGGATGGATTTTGGTAGGGGAGATTGTTTATTTGCTCAGCCCATTTATTTGGTCCATGTTTGACTCTGATACTGCTGCGACTGTCAATAAGGGAGTATTTGGTTTGAGGGGGTATCCTCATTAAGTTTAGTAAGTAACCACATTTGCATTTATTGTTTTACAATCCCTGGATTACCAGTCATGTCTCTCATTATGTCCCAGTTCACGCTGAAAGTTTGTCAGTGCTTCCAACAGGTCTTCAGCCCAAGCCTGCCTGGTGTTACAATACTTACAGTGATGTAAGCCCACTGATATGCAAAAAAAGTAAACTTCTGAAGAGGAAAGTCAAAATCACACCAATGTCATCTTCACAAATGGAAGTGGTAAATATTCTTGTGAGAATATTGCCAGCTCCCTTCTTTGTGTTCAAGGTTGGATGGAGTCAGGCTGGTCAGGCTGGATGGAATTTTGATCAGTCTGATCTAGTGAAAGATGCTCCTGCCCGTGGCAGAGGGATTGGACTAGATGATCTTCAAAGGTATCTTCCAACCCAAATCATTCTATTCTGTTCTACTGAACATTTCTTTTGACACTGACTCTGTACCTGTAAATTACAGACTGACAAGGAATATACTCTGTCCGAAGCAGGTGGCTGAACCCAAACTACATGCTAGGAACTTACCTCGTGCTATCTCATGCTGTCTGCCTGGAAATTGTCTGTGAACTTACTCCTTGGCCCAGGCCAGAAGTTTACCAGGACTAGTTTCATAAAGTAACAACATAGACAATTGAACTCCAGGGCCCAGAAATCTCTTAATTTATTAATGTATCTTATAGATTAACAAAAGATTGTCCTGCTTCTATCATGCTTTGTAATCATAGATATTTAGTTTCTGAGTGAGTGCTTTCAAAACACAAAGGAGCACCTAAGTCTTTGAATATTTCTTGTATCTAGGCTTTTCAAGCAACAATCAATCACTATTTGGAATAATTTGGAATAACCATGATTTAGAAAAATCTTCCATAGTGCAAACCCTCAAAGAAAGTGTTAATGTATGACAGATTCATACTAACCTTTAGCTTGCCTCCTTCTGCTCCAATAGGGATTGTTATTCTGATGTGTGTCTTGTTGTGCTCCAGTAAATAGTTCCTCTCCTCCGGGTTTACTATGATTTCGTCATCAACTCCCATTAAGATGTTATTAGACAGAAAGGTGGATTCTTGAACCACTAATGTAGGGATAACACTTGGCACAGTCCATGTTAGCGTAGTATCAGTGAAACTGATGCCACCTGTTGAGTTAGATAGACAGGACAGTCCCAGAAGACCGGGAGATTGAAGAGACCTGTCAGGCTTCACTCTGCAATGGCTGTCTTCTCCTGACTCCTTTTCACTGGGACACTTTTACAGATTTCACTAATGAAACGCCTTGTAGGATATCAGACAACTGATGACTATTTTGTCACAGAAACTCTGGTGCTCCAAGTACACTTGAATCACCAGTTTCAGGTGAGTAATTAATTTATTCAGAAGAACTGACAATCATGCTCACAGCTACCTCCTTTGTTGTCCTGGTCCCAGGAGTTTTGCTTTTGCCTCACTGGCAAAAAGAATGGGGTACAGAGCCACCTTTTGGACCTTCTGCTTGAAATAGTGGCTTCAGGATCATGACAACTTAAAACCTCCTGCTTCCTCATCAGTTGTTCACATTAAGACAGAAGGTGCACCACTGTTCTGCAAAAAGCCAGGCTAGTTCTCTCTCTCCAGAGGAAAGGACTAAGCAAGTCCCAAAATGTAGAGCTTCAGTCTCCTGTGTGGGATTACATGACAGGGAAGAGCCAAGGCTGTGGGATTAGTTCAGGAGAGGCACCCTGGCCCTGCTGCAGCAGTTTTACTTGTCTCCAGTTCCCTTCATCTAACATGAGAGTTTGAGAAACCAGAGACAAGGCAGGACACTGCACTGGGCACACAAGTAATATAGCATCACAGCAGGGGACGTATTTGTCTGGGACTAAAGCCATGGGCTCTTAGCTCATGTTGCTCTGAGGGCAGCTTGTAAACCTTTTCTCATGCAGAGAAGGTCACAGGGAAATAGGGAGACTGTGTTCTCTACTAGCTCCTTAGGTGGTTGTTTTTGGCGAATAAGGAAAAACTCCTTACCAACAGGACAGGAGACAGTCGTGTCTATCAGCAAAAGCAGCCACCGCTGCCTGTACATGGAAGTGGAAGTGACCATGTTCATATTTACACCATTGACCTGTTGGGATGCAGGCAGGAGTAGAGCTGCTCTCCTGGAGGTGCAGTGGAGGAGAGCAGCTTTGTGCCTGATGGAGAGCAATGTCTTACCGTGCTGACGTCGGACTCGTTGGTGTGGTAGGGCGCTCGGAGGTGCACTCGGGACAGGGTGTTATTGAAGCTGTAGCCCAGCTTTGCTGCCTCGCTTACCGTTACTCGCTTTCTCCCGGACGGAGAAACAAACACCAGTTGCCACAGCTGGTATGCAACATTCTGAGTCTGCAAGAGAGAGATGAGTGACGTCAGAACTAAGTCTACCCAAGTCTCTTAAAGAACTGTGATGTTGTAGCACTTATTTTCCTGTTAGAAGCTGGAGTAGCAGGAATACACCCCAGGCAAGAAATACCTTTGAGATATATATGAAGATAAGGAATTCTATAACTCTTTAAGGTGTCTTTAGAGACAGTCTTCTAGCAGCCCTAGAAGAAACTTAGACTGGTAGCCTTGAACGAATCCACTTGGACAAAATGCTTTTGCTCTTAATAAAGTGATTGTCTTCATATCTGTCGATTGCTGGAGCACTCCAGAGGCCAACTGGCACACTACCTTTCATAGTATGTAGCCATACTGTGTCAAAGGTAAGAAGACAGGAATGTCTGTACTGGTCTAGAACAGAGTCTCCTGAAATGATAATCATATGGGAGGATAGTCAAAAGGAAAAATGGGTGTAAGGAACAATAAGACAGGAGAAAAATAGGAAATGTATGTATTTCCTCCAAATACTTTCCAGCCTCAAATAATTTTCAGCTCATGGACTCCTGAGATCTCTGTAGCTTCTTTGTATTTTGTATGTCTTATTGCATTTATCTTCAGTCAACTTTTCCAGACTCTCCTTGAGATCAAGCAAGCTTTTAGCAGCCACGACATCTTTTGGTGAGTAGTTTGACAGATTCACTACCCATTGTATGAAGAACCACCTACCTTTGTTTGTCTTGAACTCAGTTTCACTAATGTAACAAGCACATGGCTGTGTTCTCCCACCTAAACATCTTTTTGCAGTCTAGAGCTCTAAGAAAACTTGAGAGGTTGATGTCATCTTTGCCATCTCCCTTTTTTTGATGGAGATGGAGCTATGCCCCAAGAATGACTCATGAAACTAGTGAGAAGAGGCAGGCTAGGAACTGCTAGGAAAGACTCCCCTTCATACCTCTGGCAGTGCTGACATCCACGCCACAGTGTAGTCATTTGAGACTGCAGGGACATCAGTCTTCACTGACACCTGGGGACACAGAGGAGATTCTTTGGGAACAAACATGTCTTTTACTGCACTATTATAAGCATGCAGAGCAGAGACAGGGCTCTCAGATTTCACTAGTGGCCGTAGGGATTTAGCAATTTGCCATCACTGGAGATAATTAAAGATGTTCTTGACAGTGATAATTTCTGTGGCCTTAAAATCAAAGTTAAAGCCATGGCATTTATAGTGGTGCATGTACAGCAGAGGGAACACTTGGTATATAACTGGGTAAATAAAAAGTCCTGTTTCATATCTGGTAAGCTGTGAACTAGATCCCACTCTGGAGACTTGGAGGGGCATCTGGGTCTCTCCACCGGAGGTACAGGGAAGAAGGCTATTGGCTTTAACAGGACTCTTCCCATGCAGGCTGAATGCTGGAAAATGCAGGATCCCCAACACCCAAGGTAGATGCTGTGGTGAAACCTTGCCAGCGTGTGCTCCAGAGAGAGGTGAGTTCTGAACACAGAGCTGGGGAGTCCCTGTTTGCCTCAGACATCTATACCATGGTTCGTGTTGCAACACCCAGAACTGGGGAGTCCCTGTTTGCCCCAGACATTTGTACCATGGTTCGTGTTGCAACACCCAGACGTGAATGCACAGCCTCAAGTCCTATCAGAAAAAAACATTTCTTCATCCAGCCTACAGCAGGTGTGTGCAAAAGGCAATGAAGTTTGTTTCATTCAGTGCCTTATTCCTACACGGATGTCTAGATGCTGGTAGCAGGCTGGACAGCCAAACCCTACCGCCCTGTGGGAGGCAGGCTGTCTCACAGTGATGTCCTGTGAGTTGTGTGGCACAGCAGGGGTGCAGCTCTGCAGACTCTGGGGATTATTATTTCAAACACAAGGATGACATTCTCACAGATGCTGTGGCACTTTGTAAACTGAAGGTACTCTTCAGGGATTGAAGTCTGAACAGCTTGTCCTGCCTGGCTGCTGATTTTTTTGCCATGGCTTGACTTATATCATCTGTACAGCTAACTGAATTTCACTGCATTCAAAATACCTGTGACATGTAAATGTGTTACTAGTAGGCACCTACAGTTACACCCTCTGCCCAATGTCAGCAGGTTGCTATTACACCTGGTACATAGTTTAAAATCAGCTTCTGACAGGCATTTGTGGAGGTGGTTGTGCCTGGCATGGAGCTTGGATGTAGCTTCACCTTCAGTGGGAAAGCTCTTACCTCCATGTAGTTTTCTTCACACACAATTTCTCTTGAAGCCCAGGAAGAGTAGGAGCAGTACATAGGGTAGGTGTATGTCACAGCTGCCCTCATGCTTGAAAATGAGGAGACCTTGATGTTCACAGTCAGTGAAAACAACTCATCTGCCTGGGAAGAAAAACAGGCAATTCAGCAGATAGTGTGGAAGGTCCCAGGGACAGCTGTATGGGACCATCCAGCCCAGTGTCCTGTTTCTGAGGGTGTTCTATAATAATGAATATAGGCTGAGAGCTACAGTGACAGTTCCTCCAACGTATGACCCTGTCTTAAGTGGTTTGTGTGCAGGGGCTTTCTGAGCCAGAGACATTGCCTCAGGACTTGCAGTCTTTGCCTCAGGCCACATCTTGGTGCTATTCTTGCCACAGTATTAAGTAATGACCTACCTCACTGTGTGGCTCACATCCCTCCCATCCTGACTGCTATGTGCCTGCTCATGGGGAGAAAGTACTGGAGCTTTTAGTTTGGTGTAG